TTGGAAGACGAAGGTGTTCTGACGCCGAATAAGATCCCTCAGATCAGAGATGTTAATAAGTATCTTCAGAGTGAGTTGGAAATTCTTCATGTGGAAATTTTTCTGAAAAGATGTTTTTGTTCCAGAGAAAACTGGTTTCATTCTTCGTCCTTGCAGCGGCCTGCTATCTGCACGCGATTTCTTAGCCAGCTTAGCATTTCGTGTGTTTCAGGTCAGCATTTTGATTTGAATTATGAGCCGGCAGCGGGTTGCAATTACAAAATGCGCCGGTATACCAAATCCCGCAGCAACCCAAAAACATGAGCCAATTGAGCCTCCTAACCTTCAGGGAGTCATTGGCCTGAATCGAATTGAATACGTGATTCTGGTGCATAGCAAAGTCTAGCAAGCGCTGTTTTCTTAATTCCTCACTTTCACAGCTAAGGCGTTTATTCCGAGCCTTCACTTTTGATTTGAGTGTTCGGGTATGCAACAGTAATCTAACCTGGAGCAAAAGTTATGGTTAGTAAATGCTCCTCTAGTCGTGTTCAAAATTTACAGACCACCACGTACTTACGGCATGGCAGCAAGCCACATCATTCCCCCGAACCGGATCTGATTCACGAGCTTCTTGGACATGTGCCAATGTTTGCCGATCCCATGGTAGCGCAGATGAGCCAGGTACCCTTACATGACAGCTGCCAGCAACGGACTTATGGGAAGACATCTTTCAGGACATCGGTCTAATGAGTTTGGGCGCTACTGATGAACAGATTGAGAAGCTGGCCACTGTAAGTACTTCTGTACCTGACATTCTCACACACCAGCTGAACTCTTACAGGTCTACTGGTTTATCATCGAGTTCGGTTTGTGTCGAGAGGACGGACAGTTGAAGGCGATTGGCGCCGGATTGCTTTCTGCTTATGGAGAATTGATGGTCTGCAGAAAACACCTTTCTATTTCTTGTCCATTGTAAATTCAAAAAGAAGATTAGGACAAAATCACCAAAACATGAACAAAAATGCTTGGGATCTACTAGAAAACGTGGACGAGTTGTATGTAGTTATTGGGCGTGACTTACAGCCTGATGTGGATTTCAAATCGATTAAAGGCAGTATTCACGTTGGATGGAAGGCGGTGCGGTTTCGACGATGTCGCTTAACGCTATTGGAGGAAATGTATGAAGGCGGTCCCGATCGCCTTCATACAACCACCGATAACGATGTGACTCCAGTCCACCAGTGACGTTGGGTGACGTCATCAAAACCGTCCCGCCCTCCAGCCATTGTGACAGAGTGGAAATCAGCCGAGTAGCTGGCAACGGCGCGTCGAGGATTCTCGCTCTCTCGTACCCGCGAGCCGTCTGTGCCCACCGCGCGTACATTCACTCTCGACACTACTCTGGCTCAGTGGAGAGCCATGGTCGAGGAATTCCTCGACCGCTATTCACTCTGCATCGTGATCACTCTCTTTACACGGATCAGCATGTTTCGCAAGTGAGAGAGCTTTCAAATAAAGTAAATATAGAACCGGGTCAATGCACAAGGAATCTAATTTTATTCAAATATTACTTCAAATAACTCACAATGAGCTCTCAGGCAAATGGTACTTTAGATTCTTGAAAAAAATCAGCACTAATAACAAAACCGAGTTATTCGCTTCCTGCTACCCATGCGACCCTGTTCTCTGGTTTTCAAGGAGCCTTACGGTTTCTTCTTTTCTTATACTCATATTTGGATTTGCAACCTCAATTACTATGAAGGATCCTCTGGCTGTGCACTATTTTACGGCAATATTTCAGCATGCCTGCTCAGACAAACCAGAGCATCGAGAGTTCGACCCGGCTACTACGGCTGTGCAAAAATATGAGGACAGCGACTACCAGCCACTATATTTTGTCGCTCAGAGTATCCAAGACGCGCTGTCGAAGCTCAGGTAGGGTTACCATTGTACCGCGTGAAACGTCATGAAGAATACCTTTCAGCACGTGGGGTAAACATCTGTTGTCACAGCGTGGCGCCGCGCACATTTGTCACAAGCCATGGGCCGAGATATTACGCTTCAATTGATTCGTGCTTTGAGCTCGATATGAAGAGCTGTAGACACAATTGTAAAGCGATGAACATGGAGCACATTTCCGAATGAGAGCGGAGACGAACGAAAACGGTGGTTCCCAAGTGAATCGCCGCGAAGGAGGGCCGCGCGCGGCATAGCGCGTATGCGCGTCGCCGCGTTTTGACTTTACAATGCGCAACCTGTTTTCCTAACTCTTGTCTATTACACAGCACACAAATGGCTACCCGCAGCTATTGTTATTACCATCAGCGCTATATTTCGCAACAGGGCTGAATTTTGCCCGCTAAAAGTACCCATGTTTGCTGAAGTACCAAACAAAGCCCTATGGTAATTTATTCGCTCGAATGGTGTAGTATTTTATTTCAGAGAATACGCACGTTCCTTCGAGCGTCCATTTGCAGTCGTTTATGATCCATTTACGAGAAGTGTCGAGGTAATTGATTTATCGCTTGTTCCATGAAAGTGTTGGAGTAGAATTGGTAAAAACGAGCAAACGAGGAAATTTTCGAAACTTTCGAATGGACCAACTCAGCTGAGCGAATAGTAACGATTGGCGCAATAATCGGGATTGGGACCCAAACATCTTACTTAGCCCTGTCAGCGAAGCAAGGAAGGGCGTGATTCTGAGCATCAAACATCAGCGCAGCGCTAGTAGATAGTTACGTGACAAACATGCTCAGCCGATTATGTAGACCACGATTACGCGGTGACATAAGTCCACGAACAAAAGCGAGCTAACGAGTTTCACGTTAGTGAGCCGCTGGATGCGAGCGTTTCACCAGCAAATTGAGTTGTGCACTAGCGGATTGAACTACATATGTGCCAGCGGATTGAACGATGTACCAGCGACTCACACTACTTCAAAGTGGTGGGAAATAAAAACGGAGGAATTTTCCAAGCAAAGCAAGGCTTCCTGTCAAAGCGAGGCACGTATGTGTCCCGCGCTGTCCCCCAATGTGATTATGTGTTGATTAACAATTTTTTTTTGCAGGTGATTCGTGATTTTGCCGATTTTGAACCTGCTCTACAACGATTCCGCATGGAATTCAGCTCCACGATTCGTGCAATTGACAACCTGAGTATCAGGAAATATTCGACGAAATAAGGAAATGGCTTTCTCTGCATTGACTCTGCATAGTTACACATAGTATTTATAATCCTTCAGATACGCTGCATTCCTAGAATCTATAGATGTTCTTAATTCCTTCACAATGTACAACACTACACGCTTATGATACTCTTCACTTGCATAGTTCCGGAACAGCTTTCATTAATCGAATCAATTTCAGAATCACA